TCCCTCTGAGACTGTTTTTGATGCATCTTTGCTCATAAAGCCAGTTCAGAAAAAGGCTATTTGGTTTTTGTTTGTTTGTTGTTTGTTTGCTTCAAGGCAGGGTTTCTCTGTGTTGCTTTGGTGCCTGTCCTGGATCTCACTCTATAGACCAGGCTGGCTTTGAGCTCACAGAGATCTGCCTAGCTCTGCCACCTGAGTGTTGGGATTAAAAGCATCTGTTACCACCACCCGGCCCAGAAAAAGACTGTTTTAAAGGAGATGATTTTAGGTCTGACTTACCTCACTCAGGATGATTTTTCCTAGTTCCATCCATTTGTTGCAAATTTCATGATGCCATTCTTTTTTACCACTCTATTGTGTAAATGTACCACAGTTTCATTATCCATTCTTTGGTTGAGGGGCATCTAGGTTGTTTCCAGGTTCTGGCTATTACAAATAATCCTGCTATGAACATAGCTGAACAAGTGTCCTTGTGGTATGATTGAGCATCCTTTGGGTATATACCCAAGACTGGTATCACTGGGTCTTGAGTGTTCCCCTTATTCCACATCCTTTACAACATAAGCCGTCATTAGTGTTTTTGATCTTAGCCATTTTGACAGGCATAAGATGGTATCTCAGAGTTGTTTTGATTTGTATTTGCCTGATGACCAAGGATGTTGAGTAATTCCTTAAGTGTCTTTCAGCCATTTGAGATTCTTCTGTTGAGAATTCTGTTTAGACCTGTACCCCATTTTTAATTCGATTATTTGGAATTTTGATGTCTAGTTTCTTGTGTTCTTTATATATTTTGGAGATTAGCCCTCTGTCAGATGTGGGATTGGTGAAGATATTTTCTCATTGTGTAAGCTGCCATTTTGTCTTATTGACTGTGTCCTTTGCCTTACAGAAGCTTTTCAGTTTCAGAAGATCCCATTTATTAATGGTCAATCTCAGTGTCTGTGCTACTAGTGTTATATTTAGGAAGTAGTCTCCCATCCCAATGTGTTCAAGGCTACTTCCCACTTTTCTTCTATCAGGTTCAGTGTAACTAGATTTATGTTGAGGTCTTTGATCCACTTGGACTTGAGTTTTGTTCAGGATGAGAGATATGGGTCTATTTGCATTCTTCTACATGTCGATATCCAATTATGCCAGCACCATCTGTTGAAGATGATTTCTTTTTTTCCATTGTACAATTTTGGCTTCTTTGTCAAGAATCAGGTGTTCATAGGTGTATGGCTTTATGTCAGGTTCTTCAATTTGATTCCATTAATCTATGTGTCTGTTTTTATGCCAATACCAAACTGTTTTTTTAATTATTATTATTACTATATCTCTATAATAGAGCTTGAAGTCAGAGGTAGTGATGCCAGAAGTTCCTTCATAGTACAGGATTATTTTAGCTATTCTGGGTTTTTTGTTTTTCTACATACAGTTGCGTATTGTTCTTTTGAGAAGTGTTGGGGTTTTGATGGGGGTTGCATTGAATCTGTAGATTGTTTTTTTGGTAAGATTGCCATTTTCACTATGTTAGTTCTACCTTACGAGAGCATGGGAGATCTTTCCATTTTCTGACATCTTCTTCGATTTCTTTATTCAAGGACTTAAAGTTCTTATCAAAAAGGTCTTTCACTTGTTTGGTTAGAGTTACCTCAATATATTTTATATTATTTTTGGCTATTGTAAAGAGTGTTGTTTCTCTGATTTCTTTCTCAGCCCATTTATCATTTGTATATAAGAGGGCTACTAAACTTTTTGAGTTGATCTTGTATCATGCCACATTACTGAAGATGTTTATCAGTTATAGGAGTTCCCTGGTAGGATTTTTAGGACAGATTATGTAGACTGTCATATCATCTGCCAATAGGGAAAGTTTGACTTCTTCCTTTCCAATTTGTATCCCCTTGATCTCCTTTTGTTGTTTTATTGGTCCAGCTAGAACTTCAAGTACTATAATGAATAGATATGGAGAGTGGACGGCCTTGTCTTATTCCTGATTTAGTGGAATCATTTTGAGTTTCTCTCCATTTTAGTCTGATGTTGGCTGTCAGCTTGCTGTATATTGCTTTTATTATGTTTATGTATGTTCCTTGTATCCCTCATCTCTCCAAGACCTTTATTATGAAGAGGTGTTGGATTTTGTCGAAGGCTTTTTCAGCATCTAATGAGATGATGATGTGCTTTTGTTTCTTTCAGTTTGTTTATATGGTAGATTACATTGACAGATTATATATATATATGTTGAACCACCCCTGCATCTCTGGGATAAAGCCTACTTGATCATGGTGGATCATTTTTTTTTTTTTGTTATATATTCTTGGATCTTGGATTCGGTTTGCCAGTACTTATTGATTATTTTTTACATCAATGTTCAGGAGGGAGATTAGTCTGTAAATCTCTTTCTTTGATGCATCTTTGTGTGGTTTGGGTATCAGGGTAATTGTAGCCTCATAAAAATAATTTGGCAATGTCCTTTCTGTTTTTATTGTGTGGAACAATTTGAAGAGTATTGGTATTAGCTCTTCTTTGAAATTCTGGTAGAATTCTGCACTGAAGTCATCTGGCCCTTGGTTGTTTTGTTGTTTTTTTTTGTTTTTGTTTTTGGTTGGGAGACTTTTAATGACTGCTTCTATTTTCATAGGGATAATAGGTCTACTTAAATTGCTTATCTGCTCTTGATTTAATTTTGGTATGTGGTACCTATCCAGAAAATTGGTCATTTCCTTTAGTTTTTCCAATTTTGTGGAGTACAGTTTTTTGAAGTATGACCTGATGATTCCCTGAATTTCCTCAGTGTCTGTTATTATGTCTTCCTTTTCATTTCTGATTTTGTTGATTTGGATATTCTCTCTCTGCTTTTTGCTTAGTTTGGATAAGGATTTGTCTATCTTGCTGATTTTCTCAAAGAATCAACTCTTTGTTTCATTGATTCTTTGTACTGTTCTCTTTGTTTCTATTTTATTGATTTCAGCCCAGACCCAGAAAGACAAACACAGTATGTACTCACTCATAAGTGTATAGTAGATGTAAAGCAAAGGATAACCAGGCTACAATCCGTAGCCCTAGAGAAACTAGGTAACAAGAAGGACCCTAAGAGGAACACATGGATTGCCCTGGGAAGGGAAAATAGATGAGATCTCCTGGGTAAACTGGGGGCAGAGGGAAAGGGGAAAGGGAAAGGGATGGAGATTGGAACATGAGGGATAAGGATGGTCTAGTTGGGGGAAGGGCAGAGAGGGAGAGCAATGAAAGAGGGCCATTATGGGGTTAGGGAGAAACCTGGTGCCAGGGAAACTCCCAGGTATCCACAAAGATGACTCCAGCTAAGATTCCTTAGGTACCTGAACTGGCCTTCTCCTGTAATCCGATTGGTGACTACCCTAACTGTCATCATGGAACCTTTATCCAATAACTGATGGAAGCAGATACAGAGATTCACAGCCAAGCACTGGGCTGAGCTCTAGGGATCCAGTTGAAGAGAGGAAGGAGGGATTATATAAGCAAGGGTGGTCAAGATCCTGAAGGGAAACCCACAGAGACATCTGACCTGAGTTCCTGGGAGCTCATGGACTCTACATTGACTGCTAGGGAGCTTCCAGGGGACTGCCCTAGGCCCTCTGCATGTGGGTGACAGTTGTGTAGCTTGGTCTGTTTGTCAGGCTCCTAGCAGTGAGACCAAGATCTGTCCCTGGTGCATAAACTGGCTTTTTGGAATCTATGCCCTTTGGTGGGATGCCTTGCTCAGCCCTGATACAGTGGGAGGGGCTTGGCCTGCCTCAACTTGATATGCCATGCTTTGTTGACTTGTGTGAGAGGCCTTTCCCTTTCTGA